CCCCTACCCTGGCCAGCCGGGCCCCTACCCCGGCCAGCCGGGCGGCTACGCCGGCCAGGCCCCCTACCCCCAGCAGCAGCAGGGCGCGTACATCCAGCCGCAAGGCAGCTACCCGCCACCTGCCCCAGGCTACAACCCCTACGCGGCCCCCGGCCACCCCCAGGGCCCCGCGGGCCCGTACGCGCCGCCCCAACAGCAGGCCATGACGAGCGCCAGCGCCGGCGGCGGCGGCGCGTGCGCGTGCTGCGCGGCGTGCGCGGCGGCGTGCGCGGCGTGCTGCCTGCTGGATACGTGCTGCGACCTGCTGTTCAGCGGTTTCGATTAGGGCCTGACGCACCCGAGGACGCCGTGTGAGGCCGCCGTGTGAGGCCGTGTCGCCGTCGCCTGCGGCGGCGCCGGGGCGCGCGGCGGCGGCGTGCCGGGCCGGCGTCTGCGGATGCAGTGCTGCGGCTGCCTTGTGTGACCCTGCAACTGCTCGTGGTTGCCTGAAGGGGCGTGCGGGCGCACTGGGGCGTCCACGCCCGTCGAGGACAGGATAATGGTTGAACTATGGTATTTCCAAAAATTGTCGAATCGGCAGCGATGCTGCCGCCGGGTGTCGCTCCTCTCCTGCTCAGACCTTTGTTTCGCATTGATGCCCAACCGACATGCACGTCGCCAGGCCAGGTGGCTTGCACGCGCCGTAGCCACACGCGTCTCCGGCGGCGCCAACACGAGATCATGACTCAAGTGACGCCGCCGCGTCGCGGCTCGGCTGCGCTCATGTTTTATTGGCGTTGAACATTGATGTTGGACTCAGACGAGCTGCAATGTCAGCAAGGTCATGAATGGCTCATATGCCAAAGCGGTGACGTCATTCCAGGGACTGGCGTTAGGGCAAGGGGCCCCAAGGCGTCGGGCCCGCAGGCTTGGCTGTGAGCACGCTGGTCACGGGGAATACTCTTGCACTGCCAGGCGTGCTGATCAGTGGGTCAGCTTTTGTGTGCATGCGTGTGTAACACCCCGGCCCCCGCGCTTCCTTCCGTACTACGTGTAAGTTTGATGAGGGTTTGTGTTGCGTCCCAGCGGTGGGGAGGGGTCGAGCTCTCCCTTGCCTGCGGCAGCCGTAGCCGTTTTTCCCGTTGACCGTTGTCCCGTCCGGGCGTTGCAGCCCTGGGAGCCCCTGTACCAATGAATGGGCAGAGGAGCAGGCGCCACACTGCAGCTGGCGCGACGAGGCCCGGGGGGATGCACTGCATGCCATTACACTCAAAGTGTTTGCACCAGGTCACACACAGGTCGCAGCAGGAGTTCAACAGTCACACACAGGTCGCAGCAGGATTTCAACAGTCTACAATTTAATTGGGGCTTCAGGGTTTACGTCTGTTTACTAAACAGCGCAAGAGATCTAGATACACCCCTGGTGGTGGCTCAATCATGACAGGATCAAACGTGGTTCAAGCAGAGCAGCGCAGGGAGGCAGCGGCGGCGCCATCACTCATCGCCCTCGCCCGCCTCTTCTTCCCCCTGCTCCCCCTCCTCCTCCTCTTCCTCCTCCTCTTCCTCCTCCTCCTCCTCCGAGCTGTCCATGTCTGACTCGCCCCACTGCAATATCTCCTCACTCACGCGCCCGCGCCGCACCAGCGACTCAAAGCCGCCCCTCATCGCGCGCAGCGCGGCCAGATCCTCCTCGAGAAGCCGCGGAATCTGGAGGGACGCCAGCGATCTGAACCACTTCGCGCCGGCCACGATCGAAAGCGCCTGCGCGAGCTGCGGCGAGCAGCCCGTCAGGTCCAGGTTGAGCTTGGCCCGCAGGCGCCCCGCCCGCGCGAGCCGGCGCCAGGGCTTCGGGTCGCGGCAGTCGCCCAGGCGCCGGTTGAGCCCGAGGTTGAGCTCTCTGAGCCGCGGCGCCCATTCCGCGCGCGCGATGTTGCCGACCGCGGCGTCGGTCAGCCCGCAGCCCGACACGTTCAGGCTCCGCAGCGCCGGCAGCGGCGCGGCGGCGAGCGCCGCGACGACGCCGTCGCCGGCGCCGCTCATGCGGGGGTGGCACGCGCAGCGCAGGTCCAGCTCCTGGACCCTCTGTAGGCCGCCCCAGCCCGCGAGCAGCGCCGCGACGCCGCGCCGCGTGAGCAGGCCGTGCCCGGTCAGCTCATGGCCGATGTACAGCTCCCGCAGCCGCGGCAGCCGCAGCCGCGCCAGCGCCGCCGCGCCGGCGTCGCACAGCAGGCAGTTGTCAATCTCAAGCACCTGCAGCTTGGAGCCCCGGCAGCCGCGGAGGTCCCCGACGCGATCCAGGTCTGTCCTGTGGAGGCGGAGGGTGGTCAGGTGCGGGAACCACGGCGCGGCGGCGAGCGCCTGCATGCCCGTGCGCGCCGCGGCGGCGGCGGCGGCGCCGTCTGCGCCGTCTGCGGCGCCCCCGGCGACGGGCTCGCTGAGGCGCGAGGCATCCCAGAGGGCGAGGGACTCGAGGCTTGGCATCTCCAGGCTGGCAAGGGCCGCGGCCTCTGAGGGGCCCACGGGGCTCAGACGCAGCTCCTGCGGCACAGCAGGGGTGCAGCGGCGCCGGCGAGGGCGGGAGAGGGTGGGTGCGTCTGTTGGAGGGAGGGGGCATTCGGTGGCAGGGCCGCGTGCGCCCCCGCTGCCGCGTCGCGGGCGGCGCCTCGCGGCCGGCCGGCGGAGGTTCTGAGCCCCCTCCAGCGTCCCAAGCGGGCGGCGGCGGCGGCAGGTCTTGCTCAAATCGGTGAGGGGCCGCGCAGGGTAGGTGGCGCGCCCGCCTGCCGCGCGGGGTCAGAGGCCACAGGCGGTTGGGTGAGAGATGCTTTAGGCTTGGCAGCGTTCGCGCCAGGTGGCCCCCGCGCGCCCACCTCCAGCGCTTCCCACTGCCCGGCTGACAGGGCGGCGCCGTAGTCAGGCGCCCCCTTGCCTGCCCCTTCGATCTCGAACGTCCCGAGATCCGGCAGCCGGGCGGCCGCGGCGACGTACGGCCCGCAGTCCTCCATCGGCATGTTGATCTGGAGCTTGAGCAGCCGCGGCATCACCTCGTCCACGCGCGCAGCTCGCATCCCCATGAGATGATCTGGAGCTCCTCGAGCGCCGGCAGCTGCCCCAGGCTCGGGAGCGCGTCCTCAAACGCGGCGGCGGCGGCGCCGCCGCCTGTCACTCGTAATTCCAAGCGCAACAGCGATGGCAGGCGGCCGGTCGCCGCGGCCGCGGCGAGGGCCGCCAGGGAGGCGGCCGCGGCGGGCGCGTCGGCGGCGCCGTCGGCGTCGATGGCGATCTTCCAGACGCGCGCGTCAACGAACGCGCGCGCGCCGCGGCACGTCAGGCGCAGCAGCTGCCTCGCCGCGCAGCGCGGGATCCCGTCGGACTCCCGCAGCACGATCCCCACAATGGTGTCCCGCAGGTCATTTGGCAGCGTGGGGGCGTTGATGTTGCCGGTGCCGTCGGCGACGAAGGGCCACAGCGGCGAGGGGCACGCGGCGTGGGCGGGGCGGGCCCGGCGGCGCGGGCTGCCGGGCCCCTGCGGTGATGTGTCGCCAGTGGCGCCGGCGACTGCTGGACCGGGTGCCTTCATGATGTGCCCTTTTTATGCGTGTGTGTGTGTGTATTTTCAGCGGCGTTATCGACGTGACGGCACTTTAAGATCCGAGATCAGCGCGCGGGGCGCCAAATCGCGCAGCGGGTTACCGGTATGCTAAACGTACAGTCTGCAATAGTCGGTGAGAAGCTACGAGAAATAAATGTGACACCGCCCTGGCTTGCATCGTCCCATAATCCGCAACCAGGGTTGAGCGCCGGATATCGATTGAGTAGTTCCTCGTCACCTTGAGTCACCGATTGTCTGGGTGGCGCTGCCCCTGCGCAGCTGGCCGTCGAGGAAACCTTACCGTCTCTGGTATATTCCATTCAGTCTGAGGCCACGTACATGGCAGCTTGTGTGGACCATTTACGCAGTAGAGCGGCGCAGCACACCAGCAACAGAATTCCAAACTTGCGTTTTAGCGATCAAATGGCGGAGCGTGGTACACGCATGCAGAACATGGAGGGGATGGCCCCCGCCTACCCCGCCACTGTCGCCTGCCTGCGTCGCCGCAATGGGGCGCGGCAGTTCCAGGCAGTCCCTCTCTCGCACGCGACAGGCGGGCGCGCAACGGCTGGCGCGGCAACCACGGCTGGTTGGCGGGCAGAGAGCGGACAGGCGCGCCCACAGCACGGTCCCCTACACATCCGCGCTCTCACACAAATACACACACACACACACACACACACACACACACACACACCCGGTCACCCCAGCCCGAACCACTTCGCCTTCTGCCGCTCCCTCTCCGCCAGCTGGCGCGCCAGCTCAGCGAACCCGGCCGCGCTCTCTTCTAAATCCGCCCCCTTGTCCTGCAGCCGCCGCAGCCGCTCCCCGCGCTCCTCCAGCCGCTGCCGGTTCTCAGCCATCACCGACCCCACCTCGTCCGCGCGGCCCCGCGCCGCGGTGGCGGCGGACGACGAAGCGCCCTCCATTGTAACCGCGGGCCGCCCGTACGCCGCCCGGATCTCGGCGGCTGTGCGCATGCGCGACCCCGCGCCGCCCGGCGCCGCAGCCGCGGCTGCGCCCACGCTGGAGGCGGCGGCAGCGGCGGCACGGGGAGCGGGGCGCGAGGGGCCCGTGCCACCCGCGTCCGGGCTGCGGCCGGTCGATCCCGCGCTTGCACTGCCTGGGCCGAACAGCTCGCGCCGGGTCGCCGCTTCGCTCGCCGCCGCGCTGCTGCTGCTGTTGCTGCTGCCGGCTCCGCCGCCAACGGGTCCCGCCGCGCCCAGGCCTGCC